TTTGTTAGAATTTACCATCACCTACCACCAACACCACCTCACCTACTCCACTAAACCTAACCCACTACACCACTACCACCATCCACTACACCTACATCTATATAAGGAACCATTTGTAATAGACAGAACAACACATTAAAATCAATCAATAATACAATTCTCTATTTCTCTTTATAGATTGAATTTTTAACACTAGCAATCAATTGGAACTTAAAATGGTTAAATTGGTTGAGTAAATTCAGATACCGATTACTGTGGTTTGTTAAATATATATATATATATATTTAAAAAATTAAAAAAAGAGAAAAAGTGAGAAACTTTGTATTGCATTAGTTTCTGATATTGGGTTTCGTTACTGACAAGAAAATGTCTCTGATTGTCTCAGATTTGAAGTGTATTGAGATGGAAATTGAGAGGGCTCGCTCAATGTCCCCGGGAAAATTTTCTCATGACAAGAACAGACCTGAGTGCTTGTTAGAAATGGTAGTGCTAACATTTCTGTTGCTGTGATGGTATTGTTGTAATTTGAGTATTTGACAAGATTCTATCCTAAAACCCTTTAACTGTATCAGCCAATATGGGGTGCAGTGCATTGCAATATTCATCTAATTGGTTAGTTTCTTAAGCTTAAAATATTATCTTTAATTAAGATTTGACAAATAGTTGATGGCAGTTACTACTTATACCATATGGTATGGCTGTTTTCTATTGAATCACACACTGCAAAAACCCTGGTACTGTTTAAGCTTTAAACTCATGAGTTTTGGAAATGTTTTATTGAAATTGTGGTTGATTTGATTCATTTAATAGCTGGTTAACACTGAAGACGTCCACTTCTTGGCTTTTCTATGTGTTTGGTATTAGTTACTATTAAACTTTTTTGAAAAGAGTTACCGTTAGACTATAACCATTTCAATCTTGAAAAATGTTTATCATCACAAAAAGCAAAGGCCATAGTGAATTATGGATAATTTCACTGAAAAAGGGTTTATATATATACACACACATTCAGAAAGAAGCCAAAATGATTGAAAGGTGTTGATTGTGATGTTTTGCTCTGTTGGCATTAATTGTGGGCATCTCAAGAGTCACAGTGGTACCATAAGATCCATATATGCATGTACTTCCTGTTGTTTGCATTATTAATTGGATTGATTGTTTGATTCAGGGCAGTGTTTCAGTTAGATCAAAATTACAAAGTTATTTGCTTTATTTAACTAAACCTTTTGTGTGTATTTTTCTTTCTCAGGGCCTTCAAGTAAGTTAGCCCATGCTTGACTTGTTAATTACCCTCGTTGTTGAGAATAGGAAAATATATCCACCCATCATGTTCAATGTCTCCTCTTTCACTCAGACCTGAAGAAAGGAGATCTTGGGGTTTGATGGTCCTAAAATGACATTCTATCTAAATTCTTATTTCTCATGCTTGATAGTGTCTGTCTTTTTCTACCAAATATCATTTAAGGGCTTTCCAGTATGAATTTGGTCTAGCTGTTCAAAGACATGTTTGGTACACATGGCATGTGTGATGAGTATATATGTATTTTCCTTGTTAATAGTATCTGATTGGTGAATTTTTGAATGAAAATATTATGTTGTGCATAAGTCGATACTTTTTTTTTTTTTTTACTGGTCAAGATGAGCTATGCATGCAAGTGTTGATCTTATTCTGGACTTTGTGATCTTATTTATGTGATGATCATTGAATTACATGCTAAATTTCAGTTGGTATTTATTGACTCATGCCTGTTTTAATTTGTTCAAATTCAATATTGTAGATAAAGAATCATCCATTAACTATAGCAGGCAGTGGAAAAGATGTTCGCCATTTTGAATTTGAGCCTGTTTCATCTGTAAGTGAAAAGCATTCTCTTGATCCTCAAATCAAGTCAATTCTGTCTAGTTTATAATTTATCAATCAATTCATTAATGAAATTAAAATGTAACCTGATTCTTCTTTGTAGTTTGACTTTTAACCTATTCTTTCAGATTATTGAATATGAAGTTGGCGATGTTCTTGAGATTCTCCCTGGTCAAAGTCCTGCTGCAATTGATGCTTTCATACAGCGTTGTAATTTGAACCCTGAAACATACATCACAGTATGTAGTTCTCCTGCATGTCAATTGCTTGTAGAGCATTCCTTCTCTTCTTTTTTTTGATCGGCGAAAGTCAGTGGTTAGTTGTTAGATTAATACTTTTGGGGAGTTGGAACTCACTACCATACCCTTGCAAGAAAATCTTGCCTTCCATTCCATTCCACTCCTAAGTGTGGAACTCAAGACCTCCCCCTTAGGAGAGACTTGGTGGCCAAAGGGCTAGCCAACTAGGCTAGAGCCCCTTGGTTCATTCCTTCTATTTCAAGTAGATACACACATTGTGTAGATGCATATGCATTTGTACTACTGCTGAGGTGGTTGGCCATGTGAAAGGAACACATATTTGGTACTATGACATTCTGAATTTGGGATTGTTAATTATAGTTGCAATGGCCTATGAAATTTATAGAAAATATGACCTTGTGTAAAATGGAATGGCAGAATGGCATTTATGGTAGCCAACCCCATACAGTCGGCTAATGCTTTGTGGAATTGAAGCAAATGACAAGCCTTTTTGTAAACCCTCTTTCTGTCCCATGAAATGGCGTCTTGAACTCTCTCCCTTTTTTTATGCACTTGATGCATCTGGATACTATTTAGCCTGTCATTTGCTTTTTCCATTTATGCTTAAGTTATGCTAATATTATAGGTAATGTGTTAGCTGCATTTTAATTTCAATTTACTTTCATTAGTGATGGGCGAAAATATTTTTTACATCAATATATATGTGTTTGTGTATACGTATATAAATATATCTATTTCAGGTTCATCCCAGGGGTGCAGAGAATCACCTTCTTGATTCAAAGGTCCCCATCAAATTAAAAACTTTCGTGGAGTTGACGATGGATGTTGCATCAGCCTCCCCCCGGCGCTATTTCTTTGAGGTTAAAAATTGTCTTCGTCAAATTATTTCATGTTTCTATCGCTAATTTTCTCAACTCTCAAGTAATCTTTTGAGCTTATGTAACTTCACTTGTTTTGGTTCCTATGCTTGCTTGTCATATGGTTGAGTATTTATCTATTTTGTTATCAAGTCAATAGGCAATGGATTGAAACAGAAATTATTACCCAGTTATTTATTTAATTTTTACTCTAATTGGCCTTGATATGCTGTTTTTTCATAAACGAGTTAAGTTTAGAAGCTTCATTGGGATGAACAGTTGTATTTGATAATATGAAATGTGTTCTCAACCCTGGATATTGCCATTTAATGCTGTGATAATCTTTGTTCAGTCTACATTTATGTATAATGTTGTTTATTGCAGTCAACGCAGAATATATCAGAAATTGTTGTGATGTGACATATGAAGTTGATTCTTCCTAGGTTATCTGATTTTGGTTGCTTCATTTAGCTGCTGCAAATCCAATGTATTTTCTCCCATGTTCCATCCCATTTGAAAAATAAATTATTAACCTATATTGTTTCAATTTTAATAATGTTCTTCATCTAATTTCCAAAATCTATGCTTAAATTATCACAGCCTTTACTAACGGTTTCCTTTATCTCCTATGATATCTAATTACTGACAGGTCTAGTTTATTATTTGTTCTAAGATGCTCTGGTACCATAATACTGTAACACTTGGTTTTCTTCCTGGGTATTTTGGACAAATGGTCAAAGATTTTATTGTTAAATGAAAATGGATACTTAAAGGCGCCGTAAAATGGTCACGCTTGGTTCTAGCCTTTATCAGAGACGAATTTAGGATTTTTGAGCTTTAGGGGGGCGAAAACACATTTTTATTGAAAATAATTGTTATAAAATTTTAAATTTTGATTTATACTAGCACAAAAAAAATGAATAATATTATTAATAATCGGACATTACTTGTCAACATAATTGATAACGAAAATATAATTGGAGATAAGTAAAGTGTGATTTATAAAAGAAGAAAAAAAAACATAAATGGCATATGAACTAAAAACAAGAATAGCAACAAATAAAAGGGGATTTTTTTTTAAGGTTCTTGATATTAAGATGTTATAAGATAAAGGACATATAATATTTTCATAGTAGTGAAGGTCCCTCAACATTTTTATAGAGAAAATTCGACTCAGAGAATCTTTGCTCGATTCAGAGAAATTTCACCTCAACTCAAAGAAGTTTCAATTTTTTTTTTGGGTAAGTATAAGTTTCAATTTTCATAAAGAAATTTCGAAATTTCTCTTTGAAATCAGAGAAATTACTTTGTGAAAATTGAAATTTCTCTAAATCGGGTGAAATTTTTCTGAGTTGGGCAAAATTTCTGAGTCGAATTTTCTCTGTGAAAATGTTGAGAGATCTTAGCTAATAAAAAAAATATCTTGGACCTCTCCTAATGTAAATAATTTGGAGGGTGTGACCTATTGAAATTTTGGGGATGCGAATTTGAAATTATCTTACTAATTACAACTATAATATATATAGCTTTTAAAAATTTTGGAGGTGCGACCGCTTGCACCCACCCGCAACCCCCTAGATCCATCCTTGGCCTTTATAGTGTATAAGTCATCCCAATGCATCCCTAACTATAATAATGCTGTTGTGTATGTTCTGGCTAGATGTCTTAATTTTTGTAGATCTGCTGTTGTAGCCAGGTGGATCTCGGACATTGGAAATTTTGGCTGTAATAGGCTTATTTGTGAAAGAAATTCAAGCTTTCTTATCTACCTTGAAAGCAAATTACTTCACACCTTTTAATTTTTTAAGAAAAGGATTGAGGAAATTGAGTTCCACTTTCTTTGCTATCTGAGTTTTTACCTACCTGCTTTCTCCTAAAAAATGCACAATGTTAGGATGCACTGAAGTGATGAAGCATTCTGGTATCTTCAGGTCATGAGTTACTTTGCCAGTGCTCAACATGAAAAGGAAAAGCTTCAATATTTTGCCTCTCCTGAAGGAAGAGATGATTTATACCAATACAACCAGAAGGAAGGAAGAACTGTTTTGGAGGTATACAATTCTGATCTTCCTCTTAGCATCTGAGATTATTATATTTTCTGCTTTGTGCATTCCTATTTCCCTTTATTATTATTATTTTTTTTTGTGTGTGTGTGTAGAAAAAAAGTTTTGTGCATCATATTATTAACATATGTCCATGCTTTCTGACTTCAAGAAGTCAATATTTGTTACCATTCTATTGAATCTACACTAACAGTTAGGATGTTTAATAGTATTAGTTATGAAGGCTTGCCTATCAAAACATAAATACATACATATGTGTATGTATATATATACTATATGCATATTTGTGTATATATAAGTGTTATTCTAAAATTGTATATTGGTCCTATATTTCTTTAAGTGAACTGACAGATTTTTTTCCCCATTTCAAATGTTTGTTAACTAAAATATGAGTGTTAGCATTTAAGAAAGTTGCCATAGGTCATTGACAAATTAGAAATATTTTATTTTGTTATAGTTATGAGCTTTGAGTTTGCAGATCACACCTTGGCGATATTCCTATCTAGACAGGAAACACTAGGATAGTCTGCATGCTTTAGTCATTATCGTGGCGGAAGGTGCATCAGATAAGCTGATTTAGCAAATCCTGTTCAATTGGCTTTTAAGAAAAATCCTTGCAGATTTGGTGCTAGCTTTATCGCATCCAAACCTGAGCGATACAAATGATCCTGAAAATTTTTCATCTTGGTAAATTGATTTCCTTTTTTTACTGTAGGTATTAGAGGATTTCCCTTCTGTGCAAATGCCATTTGGATGGCTAGTGCAGCTAGTTCCTCCATTAAAAACAAGGGCATTTTCAATTTCTTCTTCTCAGTCAGCTCATCCCAATCAAGTACACTTGACTGTTAGTGTGGTATCATGGACAACACCTTTCAAGAGGAAGCGAACTGGTCTCTGTTCAGCATGGCTAGCTGGACTTGATCCTAAAAAAAGTACGGTTATTGATGTCAAGAAGTGATATTTATTTATATTTATATCTATATATATATATATGTGTGAGGAAATTATACTAGTAGCTCTCATTTTGGTTCTTGTATTTCTAATTGCTTCAAATTTACCCTTAAATTTTTTTACATTGTGTCAATTTAGTTTAATTAATTATGCCTTATTAGAACTTGGACTAAAATCAGATAGAAAAATACTCCATTCACTGTCCAATTTGAAATGGTCCATTCCCTTTTGAATTGATGGCTTTGGAAAGCTTGAGGGCTGCTGTGAAGACCACTAATAAGCTTAATATTAGTGGAAATCATTTTCCCGACTAAAGTCTTACCAATATCACCATAATGCCACCTTCGTTCCACCACCACCAACATAGGAAAAAGTTTTTCGTACAAAATGTTTTCCACACAAACAAACTGAGCATAAATGATTATAGATCAAGAATGTAACAAACTTCAATTAATTTTGCTCCCCCCTCTTCCAACAAAAAAAACCATATATATAGACATACAGCACAAAGGTTATTAGTGGTCTTCACAGCAGCCCTCAAGTTTTCCAAAGTCTCTTGGTGATACTTAGGATCAACCATTTTGAATTGATGGCTTTTGAAATGGTCCATTCCTTTTTGAAAAATAGTCCATTCACTGTCCAATTTGAAATGGTCCATATCCATTTTGCCCTTGATTTCTGTCCAATTTGTTAATTGGACTAAATTGACACGGTTTGAAAAACTATAGGGATATTGGTACAATTAGAACCACAGTGACTAAATTGACACGAGGAAAATTACAAGGGCCACAGGTATAAATTTCAAATTAGGTTCCAATGAAGCAAATGTATTTGTCATCTCCTTCAGTTGATATATTTAACCATGTATCCCATTCAAGCAGGAGTCAATATACCAGCATGGTTTCATAAAGGTTCCCTCCCTCCCCCACAGCCATCATTTCCACTCATTCTCATTGGTCCTGGAACTGGTTGTGCACCTTTTCGAGGGTTTGTAGAGGAAAGAGCCTTACAAAGTAAATCTGGTTCTACTGCTCCCGTTCTTTTCTTCTTTGGTTGCCGAAATGAGGATAATGACTTTTTATACAAAGATTTTTGGTTCTCTCATACACAAAATGGTGGAATACTTTCAGAAGATGGGGGTGGAGGCTTTTATGTTGCCTTTTCTAGAGACCAGCCAACCAAGGTATATGTGCAACATAAGATGCGGGAACATAGCAAGAGGGTGTGGAGTTTGCTGAACGATGGCGCTGCCATCTATGTTGCAGGCTCTTCAATAAAAATGCCCACAGATGTATTCTCAGCCTTCGAGGAAATAATATCAAAAGAAAGTGGGGTTCCAAGGGAAGCTGCTGTCAGGTGGCTTAGAGCTCTGGAAAAGGCTGGTAAGTACCATGTTGAAGCTTGGTCTTGAGCTCTGTTTAGCTTTTGTTTCCAGTGGTCATTTTGAGTCTATGAAAAGACAAAACCACTCTTGTTGTGAAGGTTCAAATAAATTTCAAATTCGGTAATTTTTATTCCATTTGATTGTGAAGAAAACTATTGAAACATTGGAACAAGTTTACTGTGGCATATTGGCCCAACGGTAATGTCATGGTGTGGGCTCAAGTCATAGAAACCACCTCTTAAAAAATAGGGGCAAGGTTACTATCTTTGCTATGTTGAGACTGCTTCAGCGGGAACTGTGTACTGGTTCTCCTTTTTTATAGGTGAAATTGTAATGTTAGGAAATTATTATCCCCATGCAGAAGGCTTAGCTTATTTTCATGGAACTGAATTTTGAATTAGGATTGTCAATGTGCTTAGGGTGGGGTTTTTATGATATGCCATGCACAATGAATTGTTTTCATAAATGAATTTAATGACCTTGTGGTGATGTGAAGTGTTTCTTTTTTGAGGTAAGTGATGTGAAGTTGATTGTAATAGACTTGGATCTTTGCACAGGAGTTGTAACTGAAAATTTAATCACAGGATAAAAAAATCTTGGAATTTATTCATCAGCCTTTATGAGGCTTGGTAGCTGATTCCAATTTCTCATATTTTCTCATTCTAACATGCATATATATTGAGTATTAATTTGCTTTGTGAAGAACTTGAATTGTCCACTGCTTCAATCAATCAATTAAAATGGTCATTTATTCATTTTATTTTTTTTTAAAAGTGATCATAATGACAAAATATTGTAAGTCTGTTCATAATTGAATGCGCCAAGTTTTCTTGAGTGCAAACTACTGCAAGTCCATTCATAAAATTTGAAGAAAGAACTCTTTTTTATGAAAAACAGAGAAGGTAAATTATATTGATTACTCTTCAGATTCTTTGGGAAGGTAAATCTTTTTTCAAAAACTCTTCAGATTAATTATCTAAAAATTTCGTCGACAAATGTTATGGTAGTTTAGGTCATATCTAAGAGTTTTTGAACTAATAAGTCTTATTTAGTAAAATTGAGAATATTATACTTTGTTTGGCTCTGGTTCTCTAAAAACAGTTTTCAAAAAATTTTACTTTTTTGTTTTTCGTATTTTAACGTTTTCAATGAATTTTTTTAATATTTTAAGCAATTTTTTTTAATTGTTAGACACACTTAACATAAATACACTTAAAAAGTATAATATTAATGAAAAAAATCTTTAAAAAATACACTAAATACCAAAAAATATATTAAAAATACGAATATTCAGTACATTTTTCATATTTTTGTGTATTTGTTAATTTTTAAAAATGTTTTTTTACAAATATTTTACTATTTAGATACATTTAAGTAAAATGCATCTAAAAAAGTAAAAAAATTGCTTAAAATTTTAAAAATATTTACTAAAAACAAAAAATTCAATTTTCAAAAAACTGAAACCAAACACACTAATTAATTTTTTTTTTCTAATTTTTAAAATTAAGAGCATTATCAATTTTATATAGTAATGTTCTAGATAATTGTTTTACTAACTGATGAAAAAAATAGAGCATGAGATTAAATATTTTTATCATTCTACTTATTAGTTTGGTCAACTATCTAATAAAATCGAGAATATTATCAGTTTTTTTTTTTTTTTTTTTTTTTTTTTTTTTTTTTTTCAGTTTTAAGACAAGAACATTATCAGTTTTTTCAATTTAAAGTTTTTTTTTTTTTGCACCTCAGTGTTTTTATCATTCTCTTTTTATAAATACAAATTTTTCAGTTTTTCACCAAAAAAATTCAATTTTTTCAACCAAAAAAAAAAAAAATTTGTGCATAAATTTTTTTTTTAGTTTTTTCCAATTTGAAAGTTGATGTTTTAAAGTTTTGAAAATCAAAATAAATGTCAAATCATCATGTTCTTTTATAGATAATTACAAATGATGAACAATTATTGTTTATAGGATAATTCTGACTATTAAAAATTTAATTAGTACTTAAAGTCCAAAAAATCTTAATTAGGACTTAACGGAATATAAGTTTATAAATTATGATTTGTGTGTAAATGCCACTAAATATATTATAAGTTTGATATAATTATATTAATTTCTTTTCTATTCGCGTTAGACTAAAAGGATTAAAATTAATATAAATGATTAAATCTCTATAAAAAGGATAATAATATTATTTTTTCATTCATATCATTAACAAGCTATGAATAAGTGTTGTGTGAATAAAAATTTGAAAAAAATTTAGTGTAATTATACTAAATATGTGTACCTTCATATATTTTTTGCAAATTTAAAAAAAATTAGTGTAATTTACAAAAGATTAATGATTCATTCATTGAATTTGTTTATCTCGAAGTCGGTCGAATGAGTTTTTTTTGGGAAAGAGAATCGCACACGATTGGAAAGAAATTTAGTGTAATTGTACTAAATTTGTGGACCATATATTTTTTACAAATTAAAAGAGACATTAGTGTAATTTAAAAAGATTAATAATTCATTTACTGAATTTATTTAGCCTAAATCCACTCGAATGAGTTTTTTTTCAGGAAAAGAATCGTGCACGGAAACTCTTTCTTAGTAGAGATTCACGCTAAATAATTTGGTGAATGTTGTTTACAAAACGATAATATAAATTAATAATAATGATAATGAATTCTATCTTAACAAAAACCAAAAACAAAAAAATACAAATTGATTGAGAGATTCGGAACGACGTCGTTTTATTCACCTTCTTATCCTTCTTTTTTCACCAAGTGAAAGCCCGACTGTGACGCCCCTCCCTCCCTTGTGAGGTCTCTCTCTCTCTCTCTAGAGAGCTTCCACGATGCTGTCATGAGGATTAAACCGAGTGTGAGTTGTACTGGCTCTTTCAAAACCTACACATTTACATATCCCTCTCCGAACCCAATTGCTAAAATTCTCGTCATTAATTCAATCTTGGCGACTCCAAAGGTCTATCTCATTCAATCACCGACGACGCTTTCTAATCTCAAATTCAATCGCCGCGCGATAATAACACCAAGCTCTCTGCTTCTTCGCA